TCTTCTACTGCCTCAATTGCTTCACACTCGTACGGAGCAAGTACTCGTTTTCGGCATCGATTGTGGACTTTCTCGCTGCGGCGCGCAGTTCCTTCTTGGATGATTCGATAGCCAGTTGTTTCAGATATATTATGTATCTTAAATAGCTGCGTACGAGGTAATTTGCCAGCTGTGTGGCGTGCATCAGCAAGAAGGCGCGCACGGCGCGGCGTATCGAGCATCGTTTTTGGCGTTCGTGAGGCCGCAGGAGAAGGAGGATCTATAGAAGTAGGCTTTCGGCAGATGCGCCGTCTATTTCCCTGTTTAGAACTCATTATTCCCTAAATCTGAGTGAGTATTGGTAGAGAAATAGGGGAATGAAGAAGGGGGGTAGAGGAAGGGGATCTGAGAACTCCCGTAAATTTTGGCGCCAAGCTTCGGACCGAAGGACCGGAGGACCCACTTTTTGACCCTTGATGCTGAGAGTGCCGTTCTTGGAGAAATACAGAGTACTCCTTTTAGCGATGACCTGAAGAATATCATTGTTTATGCACTCTTCTATTCCTCAATCTAACATCTTGTTGGTGCAAAATATGCAGACTCATTTCTAACTTCTCAGCGGTGGGAGATTCTAATTTGTAGACCATGCTAATTGGTAACCAGTAAGCATGCGGGCATCAAAATGCTCCAGCGCTTTATTCCTAGTCAACAGAAAGTATCACCATATTTCAGTGCTAGACATTGAAAAGCATTTTCTCAGCCTGTCGATACGGAGAGCGCTGAATGGCGCAGGGCCATCAGATGCCTATTTTCACCTGGGTATGAGTTCTGTCGAATTGCGAAAATACCTCAATATCCATCCTCAACCATCGATTACACTCTATTTGGTTTTGGTAACGCCCCCATCCACGGTGACGTCTTGCCCGGTCACAAAGCCGGCACCAATCAACCACTCTGCGCATTCCGCGATATCTTCTGGCTTTCCTGCGCGGTTAGTTGCATGCTTCTCTGCATCGTCCCCTTCGATCTGCCACTCCTTGCTCTGTTCATCACCCTGCTTGCACTCATGAGCGACCCTGATTCTCCCCGGAGCGATTAGATTGACCCGAATTCCAAACTTCGCCATGCTGACGGCCATGCTATGCGTAAGTCCCAGTAAGCCGGCTTTGGTGGAGGCATAGCCTTCCTGATTGGGGTCAGACTGGAGCATACGGAAGGACGAGACGTGGATAATGCACGGCCCTGGGCCTTCGAGCTTGCGCATTTCATCCTCAGTAGACACTTTCATGTAGGGGATACACGCTTGACTAAGTGCGAATGGAGCGGTGAGGTTGGTTTCGACATAGGCAATCCATTGATCTATGGTGGACTGGTCCTCCATGGTAGCACCGTCTTTCCAGAAAGGAGTTGAAATGCCGCCATTGTTGATCAAGACGTCAATGTGCCCATCGAAGAAGTCAGCAGCCTTTTTCGCAGTAGCTCGAATCTCATCGACAGAGCGAAGGTTGCAGAGAGCGTAGCCTAGCGTTTTATTCAGGTGTTCTTTGAGGTGCACGGTGGCCGTGTGAGCGAGTTCGTCTTCGTTGAAGTCTAGGATGAAGACTTTGTGGCCGCGTTGAAGGAAATGACGGGCTAGACAGCGACCGATGCCTTGCGCAGCACCTGAAATGAGAATGTTCTTTTGCGGTGGCGCAACGGTAGCTGGAGTCGTCATAGCGAGGTGAGTGGCAAGTTCGATCGTGGTGATTACGGGATAATGCTGCAATGAGTTTTGGATTCAGCTGCTGGTAAAGCTGTAGATTTACAACGGTAGACAATAAGTTAGAATTTGGCAGACGGGCGTGTACCTCGAGGAAGCTAGAGTCCACAAAGTATGGTAAAATACAGAATGAGACGCAGACGGCCTCAATAGTATATAATAGTTCTATCATCGTTGGCACAATCCTTACCACACCATTTGCTCGTACAAATGTCGTCTTTTTCCATTTTACGTCACATTCTTGATGCCCTACAGTCAGACCTCTCCGAGCCAATCAGTCCCAACTCTGAGCCAGATTATTGTTTACGCTTCAACGTGAGTCATAAAAGCAACCATCAAGGTCTCATGCAGTATGTGTGCTTAGGAGCAGTAATTTTGAAACTGTGAGAGGATAATATTAGTAATATCGATGGTTGATTTGCTTACGTAGTACTCCGTATGTTATAATTCATCTTCAACATGGAAATTACTAGGCTGACCATTTCTGATTTAGTTAGCGCATAGTTTCGGGCAAACCTTTTACAACGAACTCTCACTTGACGTGAACGTAAACATCGATGCAGCTACGTGAGCGGAGTCAGGAGCGTACAATGGCACCACAACCTTTATAAGCAGCTTCATAGAGTTCAGGTAGCCGCGTTGAGGCAGATAAATTGTCAAGAATAAGGCATCGGTAGAAGTCACGTTCCAAGTCATTTAACACCTGGACCGAACCCGCTACCGCTTGGGCACACCACCATGACGGGTAGCGAAGATCCTGCCACTGTCCTTGAACAGTTCATGCATGATGCTGCAAATCTTCCTGCGGAGATCTGTCATATGATGGAGGAGATTCAAGCCAAAGATCGAGAGGTGCAAAAGTACCAAAGCGCAATCAACGCAAAAGACGGCAGTCTGCAAAAACATCTCAAGTTGAATGGCAGTTTGAATGCTCATCCGAAGGAGAAGGAGTACGCTGATACTATCCTCAAGAACTACGATCTCTGTCAAGAAATACAGAACCAAAAAATCGCTTTAAGCGACAAGGCGTGTGTTCTGCTTGACCGCCAGGTCAAATTGCTTGACATGAAGATACGAGAGCTACAAAATGATGGCCAACTTCTTGATGGCCCACCTATTCCGTCTATCTTTAATCGCAAAGCAGCTCATCCTGATTCATCCCGGGGGTTCTTTGCCGAGGTGAACCCGCAAGCACATCAGCCATTGCAGACAACATCTGGCAATGCTACTGCTGGCAGCCTTCACTCAAACCTCACAGCGCATCGATTGAACCCACAGCATCATCTGTCGCCTTCTGTGCCAGCATCTGCCTCACGGCTCTCACAACTCTCGGCCTCAGCCACTTCTCACTTTCACCCACGAAATTCCGCCCCAACTACTCCCGCACCAGGCGCCCATCAACTTCAGCAACAAGCCTCATCTCAGCGACAGAGGGAATCTTCTGCCGGAGCCATTGACCACAAGAAGCGCCGCCTCAACCTTGGAGCCTTGCCCGCCCAATCCTCTACCCTTCGGCAATCATCGCTCGGCCCTGGAACACCAAAGGCAGGCACACCGACCGGAGGAACTGGCAGAGCTGGAAGCGCTGGTCCAAGATCAGCAGTAGGTCAAAGTGCTGCAGCAAAGAAATCAGCCGGACTCGTCAAAAAGCTCGTACCTCACCATCAGCAGATCAGTAAACTGAAAGGAAAACCATCAAAGCGCCTGGGCGGTACAAAGAGAAAGGGCATGTCCCCATCAGTCCGATCTCGCAACAACACCGGAGACGAAGACGACTCCGTCCTTTCATCCGCAGACCCATCCGACACCGATGCTTCCACCACGACCCGTTCTCGCCGTGGCACTGGCGCCCGTACCTCCACTACCAACAAATCAGCCGCTTCTGAGGACGAAGAAGATGTCGACGTCGAGATGGGCGAAGGTGAGGAGGTGGAGGAAGAACAGGAAGACGATCGGAAATACTGTTTTTGTCAGCGAGTCAGCTTTGGAGAGATGGTGGGTTGCGAGAACGACAAATGTCCTTATGAATGGTTCCATCTGGGCTGTGTTGGCCTGAAAGAAGCGCCGAAGGATCAGGACGTTTGGTATTGCCCTGAGTGTCGACCTAAATTTACAGGAACGGGAAGAAAGTGAACATAACTATCTGGTGAGATAGGGATGACGAAAAGAAGAAAATAAAAGATGATCGAAGGCTTTCACAGTTACACTGTCGATGGATATGTCCCTTATCCCTCTCTTCATTCTCTTATCATCGTGAGTCCAGATCAATCTTCTATCTGCTCTATATGAAAACCAATTTCAATGTTCAGACCCATACGAATTGAAGCATTACCCAAGCACAGATCCATCTGCCATTTACCCTTTGAGAAAGATCTATACTCATAACTATGAAAGTCCAACGCAAGACCTCGTTCTCAAAAATCCTAGTATAATCATCAGGACATCCTCGTCTCCTCATTCTTCGGCATCACATTAACAGAAACCGGCGGCGCGTGCTCCACGTCGGCGTTCCCCCCCCTAAAACTTCCCAGCGACGGAGAAGTTCGATGCGACAATCTATCAACATCCTCGTAGCTCTGCAGCGGGACATCGTACGCGGACCTCGACGCTACCGCCGATCCCGCCCACGCAGTTGCTGGTGTCGCTCCAGCACGGAAGTTGGCCGCCGCGGCACTGTTGACGGCATTGTTGCGCACCCTTCTCCTTTGGAAGATCCGATACGTCAGTGCGTAGATGATGGCGATGAAGAGGAAAAGGCCGAAATAGGCGGGCAGTCTATCCGTGTCATTTGCGAAGACGAGTCCTAACGCGCCATTGATGATTCCTGCAAGGATGATGCCCGGGCCAAGGTACCGGTGTATTTTGCCCGCGAGGGTGAGGGAATGGGGTTGGGGCTCCTTGCGGTGGTAGAGGAAGCCGCGGAAGCCGAGGGTGGGCTGGATGATGAGGAGGAGGATGAGGGTGAGGCCGAGGCCTTGATGTGGGGAATTGAGTTTCGGGTGTTTGTTGTTGTGGACCGAGTTGTAGATGCCGAGGGTGAAGCCGACAAGGATGAGGAGGATGGTGCTGCATTGGCAGATGACATGTATCCAGAAGGCATGGTGGACGGGGAGGCGGGTCAGGAGCGCGCCGAGGGGAAAGAAGACCACGAAGCAGGCGGCCATGATGACGCCGTGGACAATCGTGGTGAGGCGACCGCTGGGCGGATATTGGCCGTGAACCACGCCGCTTTCGGTGGTTGACAAACTTGGGACGCCGCCTTCGCCTGTGGCCGTGGTGAGGTCCATCATGAGCTTGCCGTACGCTATGTGCTGGGTGATGCTGGCTTCCTGGCTGTCGGAGTGGAGGAATGAGTCAACAGGGCCAAGGGCATAGATCATGGGTTGAGCAGTGCTCGTCACATCGATCTTTCCTCGTTCGGCCGCCCGGAGAGGCCACGACCGACAGCTGGTGCAGTGTGCATTAATGTTATAGGTTTCGTTGTCTACGAAGGTCCCTTCCAAGATATGGACTCCAACAGCCTTCGTGTGCTCCGGCTCCTCATGATAGGGTCCAATGCGCGGACTGAGGGTAACATTTTTGCCATTTTCCGATGGATATGCCACAAATATCAAGGCGTCTTTCATCTCCGTACCGAAACCAAACCCCACCCAAGCGTGGCCTGCCGGCGCAGATACATGAAAGAAGAGGTCATCGTTGGTTGGATCCAAGGGAACATTGACCGATAACGTTAAATTCGATTTTTGATCCCCTTGTACAATGAATGTTGATGCTGGACGTGTGGCAAGAACCCCAGCGATAAAAACTGGAAAGGTCAGTAAAGCGGTAAGCAGAGGAGTGCCCTAGGGCCGTCCTTGGGGTAAGGCCTGTGGTCAATGTGGAGGGCTTACCAGTCAGAAACAATATGCTTGGTAGCCAGGGTTCGGTATCAAGTACCTTCATAGCACGAGAACAGAACACAAAGACACCGTGTAGAAGAGACTTGGAACTCCAATTTCAAAGAAGATATAAGGCCGACTATGCTATCAATATCATCTTATACGGAGTACGCTTGCTTCCTTCGTCCACCCTCCCACCAACAACTTGTACTCGGCATGCACGTGTGGAGAGGGCCGTTGGCTCTTCTTTTTGGCAGAGGTTCCAACTAACTAACTTAATGCACCTCGGGGCCGTATAATGTCAGCAAAAGCCACAGGTTTGAGGTTTGGGTCGGGGCTGCATTTCTTCCGAAATGCTATTGAGATACCTCCTAACTGGCTACACCTGTCAGATGCGCACAAGGTTTCTACCGTTGTAGCATATCATAGCCTAGCTTCAGCCTCGCACCAGTAGAAACCCTCCCCTTCTAACCCACTTGTGCAAGCGAAATTCTTCATTACTTCCGGAAGAGAATGTCTACTCCCTGTACTCCGTACTGCATCGGATCCGACTAATGTTAACGTCTTGTTCATCGGATGATGTCTTGATCGTATGCTTGCTACTACGTACTGCGTAGGTCATGCATGCTACTCGAATAGATGTGTAGGCACAATCGGTAAAGCCTAATTTAGGTCTGACAACCTCACATCGGGTCGCTGAAATCCGGGGCCGCCACCAAAAATAATAAAGTCAGAATGGGGGCTGGGCATCCTGTTTGGTAGGATCACGCAAAGTCTGTGCTGTCGTACTACGTACTTCCAAGCAATCGTATCGGGTCCACCACGAAGCCAATAGGACGAAATCATAGTCGTACAGTTGCAGATGGATCCTGCTCCTCGTGCCGTTCCTCTTCAGCAGCGGCATATTGATCTATTTTGCCTTTTGCCGCATAGACGGATAGGGCCAAGTTCTGTCTTGGACGATTTAGTAGCACGTGCAACGCCTTAGCCTGACATATCCGGCTGCACTTAGCAGGGTACAGAGTACTACTAGTACGGAGTACTTACCGGGAGAAAGCCTCTGAAAATGACGTGGTATTGGTCCTTTAGGGATTTAGCAGACGTTCTATTATTTTAGGGATTGTCAGGAGGCTCAAATAGTGATATCCTAGCCATAATTTTACCGTTATTGTCTTAAAATGACGTCTTAATAACATAATTTAATTAGATCTCAGATGTTTAGATGTACTCCGTATAGTTCTCTGTTAAACTAGATCACGGTTAGGCTGAAAATAAGTACACAATTGATGGTAATTTAGGCATAGTTTTCAGAGGGCCTTCTCCTGCTAAGTAACTTCGTGTAACGTGACTCACTGACTTGTGCAACACACCGCATCGGCAAAACCCTCGAAGCCACCAATTCCAGCTCGCCGCCCAAGCAATGTTTGTCTACATATATGTCCATTTGAATCATCAATCAATTCTATCTCCAAGATAGGGCCAGCAATATTGAAATATGTTGTGAGACTCGAAATGCACGAACTAGGAGCATCCTGCAAAAGCCAACGACTGCGCAGCCGGTCCGAACATGCGTACTACGTAAATTGAAGAGCATAGATCGAATTCCAAATATTGAGTTGTAGGATGAGATTTCAGTTTGAGTCATTGCAAATTCGCGATCTTGAAAGCTTCTTTATGACATTTTTCTTTGGGTCTAGGAGTTAAAGCTTTATGACTCACATCCAAAGAGGCTATGTGGAGGCATGTGTCTCATGTAGAAGTGCGGCTGTACACAAGCAGATCATATAATTCATAGAAAGGTAGAACAGGCAGCATTTTGATTGTCTTCTCAGCTTGCCGTTGACCACCAAAGTGACATTGGGAAGCATGCAGCACCACAAAGAGGCCGTTGAGGCGCCAGGTGAAGGAGACGAATCACAAAAAAAGAAAACAGAGCTGGCTGAAACAGACACGGCAGCGGAGTACTTCGAGAGATACGAGAGAAGAAGGGGTAACAGAGAAAGCACGAAAGATAGCAACATGGACTACTGGCTTTCAGAAGACGAAGAGGAGGAAAGTCATCAGCTTAGAGCGCAGAAACGGAAGTCTCGAGCCAAGAAAGAGCCGTACGTGGTTCAAGATGCAAAGGCGCCAAAGCTGAGACCAGCAGAAGGTATTGCTTGGCCCAACAGGCTAATGAATGGATAATTGACTCATCATTCCAGACGTTCTGAAGAGACTGTGGTGGGACCCTAGCCTACATAGTGCAAACTTCACGATAGGATATCTGGAACGATTTGCAGGCATCACGGAGATGCCATTGGCCACGTGGGTCACAGAGACCAGCGATGAAGATTTCATCCCACAGCACAGAATCAAATACTTCAAGCGCAACACTGATGGAGAAATTGTCTGGGACCGGGAAGCAAGGATTGACAAGATCTTCGGAAGCGGTCTAACCGGCAGAGTGGATAATTCTGGCCGCGGCGAGGGTCATATTTCTGCTACGCATCAACGGGGCATGATATCAGGCAAAGACTCGTCAGAGTAGGATTCCCGCCTCACGTAGAAAGATCAGGTCGACGGGGTCAGGAACCGTGATGAGTAACGAGCGAGAGAAGGTCTAATTAGTTCTCGATACACATACTAACCTTAGTACTAGTTGTACTACGTACGTAGTAGTTGCAAAGGTAACTGGAACTAGAAGGGTGACTCTAATTAGCGCCTTGGCACCTCTATCTCTACCAAACCTAAGGATTTGCAGAATCGGAGAACATCCTACGGCGTAGAATTTTAGTACCCACACAGAAGGGTTACAAAGCTGCAAAGGGCCTTGCAGTGTCTTCGATGCCAAGTGCGGCTCGGGCATACTCAATCTTCAGGCTGTTGGCAGGTCTGGTCAGAATGGGTGAGAGTTCGATAACAGGAATCTTAATGGACATGCCTCCAACACCAAAGAAGCTGACGGGGAGGGCTTTCTACGAGAGCATCGGAAGTCCCAAGATGATTTTAGCTCCGATGGTGGACAGATCAGAATTCGTTGGTAGTTGTTACCGGATCGCGCTGTGATTTTTACTGACTTCTTCAACAGGCTTGGAGAATACTTACTCGATCTTATCTGGAACCCGAGGAATCGAAAAGTCTGCTTGCATACACACCGATGCTACATTCTCGCCTATTTAAGGAGACGGCAAAGTTTCGCGACACACATTTTCAGCCTACCAGAGATAGTCTCATCAATCATCGTGCTTCATCCAGCAAGCCCTGGCTTGATGGCAATCCTGAAATCGACCGACCCTTATTCGTCCAGTTCTGCTCCAACGACCCTGAAGACCTCCTCGATGCTGCTCGTTATGTTGCACCATACTGCGATGCAGTTGACCTCAATCTCGGCTGTCCACAAGGAATAGCCCGGAGCGGACATTATGGCGCATTCTTGCAAGAAGATTGGAGCTTGATATACAAACTGATCAACAAGCTGCATGAAGAATTGTCGATACCTGTCACAGCAAAATTTCGGATCCTCGAGAGCAAGGAACGCACCCTCGAATATGCAAAAATGATACTCTCTGCTGGAGCAAGCATTATCACTGTTCATGGCAGGCGGCGAGAACAAAAGGGCCACAATATGGGTCTTGCAGATTGGTCTTATATTAGATATCTAAGGGATCATCTACCGTCAGAAACAGTCATCTTTGCCAATGGTAATATTCTCAACCGAGGCGACCTGCAGCCTTGCCTTGATGCGACAGGCGCAGACGGCGTTATGAGCGCTGAAGGCAATCTTTCCGATCCAACCATATTTGCCGTCCCTCCGCCGCCAGGACTTGCAGTGCGTGAGTACTGGAGAGGGGAGCGAGGTGAAGAGGGCTACAGAATCGATGCGGTAATTCGACGCTATCTGGACATCATATACGAGTACGTCCTTGAAGAGGAACCACCACGGCGGCAACCCTTGTTCGTCCCATTAGATCCTCTAGATGCTGAAAAGCAAGAGACGTCTGCAGAGCAGCATAATAACGAGGGTGGGCCGCCCAAAAAGAAACAAAAGAAGGACCGACATGCCAAGGTATTGTCTCCTAGCTTGAAGGCTATGCAAGGTCATCTGTTCCAGATGCTCAGGCCTATGGTCTCCAGCCATACCGAAATTCGTAATGCTCTAGCGAAATGCAGCGCTGGCGACATACCAGCGTTTGAACGAGTACTAACAATGATCGAAAATGCTGTAAAACAAGCTCTTCTGGGAGAAGCGCGGAAAGAGGTCGGTGAACAATTGAATGAGAAGGCGCACGATGAGAATCCCTCTGGTTGGAAGTCCACCGGTGCCAAAGCAGACACCATCGCAACATACAAGAGGCCCTGGTGGATCTGTCAGCCTTTCATACGCCCACTGCCACAACAAGCAAAAGAGTCAGGTGCACTAACAGCTAGCAAGAAGGACATAGCAAGAATGAAGAATGAAGGTGACAAAGAAGACCAAGGACATATAGCGAGAGTTGACGGCATCGAAAGCAAACAAGAGGGCACCGCTACTGCTCCTCAGAACGAGCTTCCAAAGGAGGCACTAGTCTGCGGCTGAGATTGCTGCATCCGTTCTCGACTTGATGCGCATTTACCGAGCACCACTTAGCGGCTCAAGAGTATTTGCGCACACAACAGATACCTACAGCTTAGAGGAATCGAATCCCTGCATGCAAGTCTTGCACCGTTCCGTCTCCAATTTCAAGTTTTATACGCACCTTTCCTCTCGTCGATCATCCTCTAGCTAAAACGAAGTTGATGTCTAGCACGCTTAAACCCAGCTTTGTATGATTGGTTCTGGATTGGCAGGTATTTAGCGAAGATGTTGCAGTGTTCAATTCAAACAGGCGAATAATTTTCCCTGTACCCAAAGTCACCCAACTGGAAGGAGACAACCAAGGTATGTAATAAATTCTCGCTATCCTCACCCATGTCACCATGAACGTAATAACTCGAATGGTGAACAGCAACGATTTTGCAAATCTAAACCATAAGCTATCATTATGATTTGGTTTCCCCCTCTATCCTAGGACGTGGAATACGTCTTATATGGTCGACGGTCATCATATGGTTCACCGCCATTCACGAAGCCTCTTGGTATTGCAAGTGGAGATATCGTGCTTGGAGAAATTCATCAGTGCACTCTCACTTTTCTTGATAGTCTGAGCTTACCCACCGTACTGCATTCAGCCAATTTTTCCATCAGTTGCTTGCATTGACAGCCTTTTGCGCTCAAAGAGGAGCCTCTGAAATACGACAGCCAGTCTTAAGAGCCAGTCTCCAAGCCTTTCAACGAGCACGTGCTTCATCCGCGTTTTGAGTTCTTTGAATCGCTCTCTCAAGCATTTGTGGCGGAATCATCGTGCCAAACCATTTCGTTAAACATAGAAGACAGTGAAGATACGATAGGTGGAATTTACTTCTGGAGTGGTTGCTCACTATCTATGGATTCTACACCCCGAAGCAAGAGACAGTCTTGAGGACTGGACTGAATAACAAATGAATCAAGCCTTGCTCCAAGGGATGCGATGAATGATCACCGCGGCGTCACATTGCCATGCGAGAAGATGAGGCAAGACCCCTTCTACCTCTGACTCCACCTTAATTTTCAACTTGAAGTTAGTTTAAGCCGCCATCACCGGGTTCACATCCAGCTCTGCGAGCTTTCTTCGGGTCCTCTGCCCTGTCGTTATCCTTGTTGTGCTTCTTCCTCTTTGCATTGCCGGCTTCCGCACCGCTGTCACTGCTTCTATCGTAGTTACCTTCGTTCGTGCCGGAGCTTTCACCAATGTCATCTTCATCATCCTCGTCAGATCCAGATTCGAAGTGAACAGCCTTCAGCCTTTTACCGGTGTTGCATTTCTTGTCTAGGCCATGCCTGATACCACGACGTTGGGCAAAACCGACGCCGAAGTCCCTCACAATTGATTGCATTCGGTAGCGGGCCGAATCGACTGAGGTGAAATGGCGGAATGGACGCGGCTCATCTGATAAGTGGACACCATCGACGTCTGTCTGACCAGCAAATCTCTTGTTCAAGGCGTCAGCCCATTTCTGCTTTCTGGCACAGGTAACCATGAGAGGAAAGCTACATCCGTCAGTGGGGTCGAGACGACCTTTTCCGACTTCTTCCTCCACGTGCTCAGCATGTTTCTGCCATAAGAACTCTTCCTCGAGAGGATGATAGTGCACAACTTGCGGCCCGATAGTGACGGGCGCCTGACGGCGGTGAAATTGTTGACGCCATTTGTTAAGCTGGCGGATATGGTCCGGATTTGACCAGTCAAACTCGACATATACTTCTCCATCTTCGCGTTCTTCATCGTGCCAGCGAAATCTCCTGTTTGGCTCTGTGGAGTTTCGGGCCCTCCCCTCTTGACCCTTGAAGATGACCATCTTGTAATCCCCTTTCCGGATCATCTCGACTCGCAGCTTGCTTGGATCTGGGCAGTTCAGGACGGCCGGCTTGGGGTCGTACTCGATGAGATAGCCATTGCGCTCCGATTTCTCAGAGGTCGGCTTGTCCATATCATCCTCGATCTCACTTAGAGACGAGTCGGACGCGCCGTCGGTGGATGATGGGGGCCCAGAAGACTCGTCGTCATCTGGTACATCAAGTGCCTCCCTCCAGTACGAGTAAGGATACGGTGGATGGTTCGCGTTGTTGTATCGCAAGCCATCGTTTGGCTGGGTTTCATGGACAAACCCCTTGGTGTTTGTCAGCTTTGGTGCACGATCCTCTGGCAAGGCACGCATCCTCCTCCAGCCATCGACAGCACGTGCATAGTCCCAGCGATGTTGTTGCAGGTGACGTCGAGCAGCATAAATACTGTTAGTGGAGGTAAGGGAAACAAATGACGCAAGACGAGCATCTTGTTCCATAGCAGATGGTCTTGGAGCCCGAAGGCTGCTGTAAGCATCGATTATGTCATCGAGATTCCCTTTTTTTGCGCGGTAATCCTCTTCGGCATCACTCAGGACCCAGTGATTACGCTGCAACAAGCCAAAAATGGCAGAATTAGTCTGCGAAGTGGACTTGGTGTCTCGACTGCCGGTGTTCAGACGTCGGTGTAGTGCTGTCCTTGCACGCAGCCGAGAAGTCTCAACAGTGCGACCCATGGGAATGTCATAATCTTGGGGAAGCACATTGCTGTTTCGGGCGGTCTCTTCTTCCTCCCAGAATGCATCGGCTGCTTCGATCACATTCCAGTTGTTATTCCTAAGGTGTCTTTCGAGGATATGTGGCTGGATAGCGAAGGTGTATCGAATCTGATTTCGCAATGCTACGATACGGTCTGCTTGCTGTGCTTGAGTAGGAGCTGGAGCACATGGCTGGAGATCCAGTGGTGGAAGACCTTCACGTCGAGCCACTCGAGTCACTCTGGTGGTGGAAGCACCTAATCCAGGATTTGCAGCGATACTGGCAGCCACAGCATCACCTTCCGTAGTGCTTTGAACATTTTCTGAAAGCTGATTAGTTTGCGCTATACCAAGCAAGTCAGCCTTGATTCAAGGAGATGAGGCAACAGCCCTACTAGCTTCGGCGCCGGTGCGTGCGCTACGGCGAGCTTGTAGACGACAACATGAAGATTGTGAGCATGTCTTTTCTTGATATGTCGACCAACAAGATAAGAATCAAAGCGAGAAGATCGAGAGCTAACTTACCAGCTGTCGTGCTATCACCTTCTTCATTCGATCCATCTCCAGAAACGAGCATACTGGAATCCAACCCTCGCCCAGCAGGGGTAGCGCTCCCAGCCAACCCGCCTATGGCAGATCTACCTTGAGGCCGACGCCCTGTGCTGAGATTAGGGCCGGAAAAGCCTGCTCGGGAAGTCATTCTGAGTTCTCAGGGAGCTGTATGATATATCAAGAAAAGAAGGGAGAGCTTGTCGACATGCACTTGTGGCCAGCGGCCAAGTTCAGCAACTTTAGAATGTTCGCGTGGAGTAAATATATATTTGAAAACCACCAGCAAAGCCATTGTGCGCCCTAGGTATATAACACTTCTGCACGCAAACACAAGCTGTTTTGCAAGATTTACCGCTTTGGGAAGAGAGGGACATTCTCAGATAACAAGTATCTCAAGGAAACACTATATATCGATCAAAGTGAGGGACGTGAGCAGAAGAGAACAAGAGGCAATCCCATGTGCATTTAGGCTCTCATATCTGCATGCTCACGTCAGAGCATGCAACTTGATCCAATAGGAGCACATGAAAGCAATTTGAAGATAGAAGGCTGTTGAAACACAGGCAACGGTGACCAAAAACCCATTCACAACGGATAAAAGAGGATCACTGCTCTTTACAGAATAGGAGAAGCATCGTCTGCAACATTACACTTCACTATTCATATCCTAAGTCACATTGCAAACATTGTTGAAGAGGCATGTACCATGCAGCTACACCATGCTTAGATTCTCTTTACAGGAATCCTCAAGAGGAATTTAGGTCATCAAAGATAGGGAGCCTGATGTTCGTTGTGAAGTCTGCAGTCTGTTCGCCATGGATACTTGATAGAGAAATCCTCTTTGAGCTTCTTCTTACGTTATGCCAGCCTCTTCACAAACATGAGGCATGGATATCAAGAGAAAGGACTAGGGGTCGCTGAGATCAACCATGGATTTGTTCTATTGACATAGCATTGCATCTCAAGTGGCCAGTATGGCAAAGGGCCGCAGTTAATCCAGGTGCAGTAGAAGACCATAGAGCACTTTTCGCCGTTGCTGTTCAGATATCCAAGAGGTGACCTAACTTTGATAGCAGCACTTCTGAGCAGCACTTCTGGGAGGCAGAAATGGGAAAACGCGGTGCTCCACCTTAGCTGGCATTGCGAGTCGATCTGCCTTAGGTCTTCAGCAAGAATGGAGGCGCAGGAAACAGTTTTAGGAATGGGCGTGGTCAGCATTTATGCTGTCGTCCCAGTCTGCTTGATCGATGCTACTCATACTGGGGACTCTGCATCTTGATGCCGGCTACATGCAATCTTGTCTTGCCATGCAGTAGTGGTGGAGCAGCCGAGGTGACCTTGCGAAGTAGTTGGGGTCGTAGGTGGCAAGGGGCAGGCCTTGTCTCATCCAAATGTCGATGACCACGTCAAGACTCAAGATTCCACCTGTGGGTACGAACTATGTCTTCAGCAGAGATATAATCATTTGTTCAGGAACTCTCCATCAACAGCGCAACGCGCACGTCTTTGGACTACAGAGAATCAGATCTTGCCACGGCACTTGAAGCACTTCATATATGAGACGATTGTAAATGTACGCTCTGGTTGGAGACTCACACAGAAAGGATATGCTTAATTGAACAACAATATTCTGGAGAGCATTATAGAACACAACAGATATGCTCGTGGTTGGCTGGATCTCAAGACAGTAGTTCACAAGGCAACTACGATCACAGAAAACAAGGAAGAACAAGAGTGAGGCAGAGAAAACATATCCCCGTACTTTACCACAGGAAAAAGTGCTCGCCATCATGCTTCTTGGCACAACAAATTTGTCATACACTGCTGAGAACACATCTCAGTCACAATGAACATGAGGCGTGAGTGTTACCAGCAGCAGTAGGTCGTCAATGTGTCCGTATGCTTAAGGCTACATCGGATTTAGATCCGATTGAAGCATAGGGAAAATCCAGATCGGGTTGTACATTGGCAAAGAAGAGCTTGTCACTCACTGGCAAGACTGGTGGGAATTTTGATTGATGATAAAGTTTCATTGTCACTGGAGCCGCTCCTCTCTTCTATTGATACGCACTGACAGTTACTGGAAGCAAAAGTCAAAAAACCTCTCCATCAAGAAGGAGAACAACTTCAGCATCTGCTTGGCTACCAACTCTTCAACAGTGCAGGCCGGGTCAATGAGCAGCTGGAGTCAGAGATTAGACTCCAAGAAATCGGTGTGGTAGAGTCAATCATTGCCGCCGTCATGTTCGCTGCCATCTTCACACTCCTCGGCCTTGCCTTTGCCTTTGCCTTTGCCAGTTGCCTTGACATTTTCTTTGCCCTTAGGGGTTGGTTTTGCTCGCTTTGTAGGTGGAGAAGAGCCATCTTCACCAACATCCCCTTCGATCTCGTCATCTTGTCCTGCGTCTTCGCGACGATCCTTGCGTTTGCCACCGGAGTCTTTTCGCGCGTTGGTTCCACTAGGACCCTCGCCACCGTCATCAAACTCGTCATCACCATCCCCGTCGCCCTTGGTGGGATCCCTCTTTGGATGAGCGGGAGAGTAGTCGAAACCAAAATCATCGCAGATTTCTCTTACTCGTCTGCGTTGCATGTCGAGGCTGGCAGACGTCCGAGCTTGCCGTGGCTGACCATTCATCCCGGGCAGGTGTGTTTGAGTGGTGAAACGATGGTTGAAGTCACGTTCCAAACGTTGGCGAGGGTATGGAACAGTTCTGCCCCATTCTTGGTGGTGAATCTCATTCCAGGTTCCATTCCATGTGCCTGTGGTGCCTTGATACGACTGACTATTCCAGAATTCTGGATGGGCCTCCATGTACTCGAACAACCGGTCATTATGCCAATGCCAGAGCCACTCATTTTCATCGGCCTGGTATGAATCCCCTCGAACCTTGACGCTGATGCCCAGATTTCTTCGAAACCATTGCGCCGTCTTGTTGCCACCAAGATCACTAATGTGAAGTGGGTTATTCCAGTCAAAAGGAATAGTGCCTCCATTTTGGAGTGGTTGTCCAGGTCTTGCAGGATCTTCAACTGGCCCACGATCTCCATACCAGATCAACTTGAATTCTCCTCGACGAATCCACAGCAAGCCCATCCTTGAAGGGTTCATGACACCAACACGAACTCCAGGGTCACGACGAAAGTTGATGAACCACCCATTCCGGCGAGCATAACTGCCCTGACCATAATCTTCAGCAGCATCCAGAAGATCATGTGCATCTGGCGCTGGGGGAGCTCCCCCAAAAGGTCTACCTGCAGCCCACAAATTCTCTGTGTCATCATGTAGTAGGACTGGCTCTTGGTAGGTTCTTCGGCGACGGATATTTGCCGGAGCTGCATGTGGAGCCGAGCGAAGGCCATTTTGCATCCACTGGTCCATCGCACGTCCCATATCCCAGTTGTGCGTTTCAAATAACACTCTGGCAGCATAATAGTCGTCTATGCCTGCAATGGTCATAAACAGCGCGATTCGTTCATCTTGGTGGCACTGGTTCGGACCTGGGATGCGAAGGCGTCGGAGTCTTCGTGTCGCGTCTTGAAACTGCCGTGGATGAAGTTGTCTTTCGCGGAATGCTGCAACGGCTTCATCGAGGTCGAATCGACTCTCAACAAGCAAGACACCAACATTGAGAGTTGTGAGTTGGGGTCGAGCTGTGGGCTGAGCAGTGATTAGCCGCTGATATAGTGCGTCAACTGCAAGGCGGCGGTTATGATGCAAGGAGTTGGCACCCAAGAGACGGTCTCTCTCAAGCTGGTTCGCGTCGCGGCCAGGTTGATTTGTGAGTTCTCTCCGGAGAGCTTCATTGAGCCGATGGTTGACAAACTTCAATGCAGAGCCCATATCCCAACGATTTCCCTCCAGAGCCGCTCGCAATTCATCATAAGTGACACCGGATGGCTCACCCAACACATTTCGAAGTGTGGCAATACGATAATGCTGCTGATCTAGTGTAGTTGTGGCTCCTTCTGGGCGAGGGGTGACCAGAGCAGGGCTACCAGCGTATGGGGTATTACCTACAGGTATCGCCCAAGATGAACGAGGGATCAGCGGATTCCAATTTGTGCCGTCAGTCTCTGGGTATGACCAAAAAGATCCGCCTGATGTGCTTGAAGTATCTGATTCAGACCCGGAAACTGCATCAGAGCCATCTTCATCACCACCACTGTTCTCATTTTTGTCATCTCCACCAGAAGGGTCATTTCCCCCTAATTCTACGAGTAGCACTGTTGAGCCCATGCCAGCAAGAATCCCAGCAACTGAGAGCAAGTATTAGTTCAATCTTCAAAGCCTGGTCTTCAAGGAGCATGTTTACCTTGGATTTCGTCAGTGGTATAAGTACTGACTTCAGGTCTGCTTCCACTAGAGGCGGCGGTGGTATCTGAAAACTGCATCAACTCACAAAGACACTCCTTTGTACGGGAAAACCTTACCTGGGTAGTTCTGAGCTGGTCCAGTATTCGCTGCAGTTGCAGGCGTGCTGGTTGCTAAAGGGAATACACTGTTAGGCCCTTCCGATCGATCGGGACTAAGGGACCCAGAAGCCTTTCTCTTCTTTGATGGGATCGGGTCCGACATCTTATGTCCCACTGCATCAGCATCGATAGGACTTGTGCAAGAATAAACAAAGAGCAAAGCAGGGGCAAATTGTGATATGCTGTGATTGCTCCTTCAATTTGGTTCCAGAAGAGGCTATTGCATACCTCGATTGTGTCGTGCTCCGAACAAAAAGGCTTCTGTCAATAAAATTAATAGAGAGGGAATGCGGTCAAGAGGCTGTCATAAACTTATCTATCGCCTCAGGCAGCGAAGGGAAGCATTGCATGCCTTGTCGATGAAGAATGTTGTGGTATAATTGAGATCAAGAGAACCGCAGGTGGAGTATTTTGTTTGAGTGCCTGGTTGTGCGGCCACAAAATATAGGGCGCAAGCGTGTCTGACGGAACACTTCTGTTCTCTAAGCTGTGAACAGCTTGCTGGCATTTGCGCCAAGCATGCCAGTTGGGTTTGTGTTCCACAGCACTCAAGGTGGGCTGTGAAGCGTGCGGGAGACGGAGGACTCTATGCTCTCCTTGTTGATGGAACAGACGAGGAGGCCAGCAGGTGGGTAGAAGCATCAATGACATTCCAGTATCGGACATAGAAACTGCAGAGGAACAGCACCTCTGCTCCACCATACTAAATATGGAGGAGGCCAAAGCAGGTCTGGGTTCTGCTTCCTGAGCATGCTTTCCTTCCACCACATTCTTTCTCCATCCTGTATGGAAGCAGGCAGCGTTTTCCATGTCCCACCGTTGCGTTAGAGCCAGGGAGAGAGAGCACGCTGGAAGCTGCTCTCATTCCTGAGCACTATGGCGAGCTTTATATATACAGCCCCCCTTTCAGCAATGACAAACAAGCTCATTCCCCGCAGTTCACCAACCACGCCCTTTATCTTGCTAAACACTGACGGCTTTCTATACCAAACCAGTACCAAACCCACATCTCTGAATAGGGGCGCCTGCTCTACCGAAGCTTCGAAAGACACAAAGCAAGCTTATCTACCCACCGCGACAACCATTTTCAAAAGCACAAATCCGTAGCCAGCAAGCACATCTCACGTCTCATAGCTGCCGCTGCAAAATCCAGATGAAACCAGATCAGCAAACATAGCTGACTCCATCACACACATATGTTCCATGATGTTCTCTCACCTCTTCAAAGCACGTTCGCGTCTTTCTTCCCATACTCTTGAAGACGACATGCATACAAAGAACCCCCTCCCCGTAAATACAGGAGATGTTGTTCAAGATAGAAGCATCATGCTTCACGACTGTCACGATTCCCTCCATCCATCCACCCTTACCTACCTACATGACTAGCAAGCTGTCTGCCGAACAAGACCAACCCATGACAAAGGCATGCTTGGACGCGGGACGTAAGAAACTGCTTCACTGCCGGACAGCTTCATTGCATCAGGATTTCCACCCCTGGTATCCGTTCAATTCACTGATCCTCTACTAGGTAATCTGCTAGTTTATCAGCGGGCCGCTGTGAAGCGTACATGTATGCATGCATGCCTGATATACATGAGAAAGAAATTGTGATTGAATACTACACTACGTACTATAAGTAGGGGTTTGGTCTTGGCACTAACTAATATGCCAAGACATTATAGTATGTCACGTGATCATGATCGTCCTCCACAACCATCATCACAGGGCTGGAAGATGCATTGCATTGTAGTGCATCAATGAGGGGTGATTCGCTGGGTAGACGATGGTTCCATTCTTGCAGGGGTAAAAGGTGAGCAGGTGTCTTGAGAGCAAGAGGGAGTCATCTCCCAAGTGAATCTAATTTAACCAGAGACACGATGTCGTGGAGACCATTTCTGATACCTAGTACCTAACTCAACGATCACGACAATTTCGTTACTTTGATTTGGTTGGATAAATTACTATGCAACCAACTCTTTCCATGAAGACTCCTCTATCGTCTATGGTCATCTATGATCTATGCGCAGCGACAACAGGGGATGGATGAATGACTCCACCACTTTTTTGGGCGGAAAAGAGGGCCCTTGGACATGGTGCGAACTGGATTGAGTAAAAGACAAGGATGACAAAAATGTCTCACTTGGACTCCGCCTCCATTGTCCTGTCCCGCCTGCACTACGCCTTGGTTGACAGATGCTCACTTTCTGCCCCGACTGCGCCGTGATCGACGAGGCCTACCAGCCTTCTTGCCACCCGAAGCACCCCGGGTGGGTTCATCGGAGTCACTGTCTCCATATTCTCCTTCTTCATGATCTCCTCTCTTGCGCTTCATTGAGGTGCCACCCCTTTTCATGCCTTTTTGAGTGGTCTTGATTGGCTGATCGGCGCCCGACGAGTCACCTCCATCATCGTTGTCACCGGGAGATTCGTATTCTTCTTGGTCATTGACGTCTGCGGCCTTCTTCTTGCCCTTCTTGTCTTTCTTGCCGGGCTTCTCTGCCGCCGGCTTCCTCTTCTTGCGTGGTGGCTGATCGTCACCGTCGTTATCATTGCCGTCATCACCAGCCTCATCGGAACTGCCGGAAGGAGAATACTGTGGCGGCGGCGGCGGCGGTTTCTTCGTTGGTCCGGGGGGGTGTGCAGGAGAATACGGCAACCCAAAATCCTCGCAGATGGCGATTATCCTCCTCCGCTGGGCATCGAGACTCCTCATTTCTCGCGCAGAACGTTCTTCGCCGTCAGCATTCGTCGTTCCAGCCCAACGGTCATTGAAGTCAATAGTCATCTGTTTTTTGTCGATTTTGATGGGCCATTTGATCCCCAGACGCTCCCAATCTTCCAAGCTGGTAGCATCCAACAGCTCAGGATGTTTTTCAATCAGCTCCCAGAGTCTTTCGTTGTGCCACCACCAGATCCAATCATTTTCCTCGTCCTGGTAGAACATCCCTCTCTTCTTGGATGTTTCACCCGTCGTCCTCCGAAACCATTGACTAGCCGTGTCATTGAGGTGTCTGACATGATTGGATTCGTTGTAGTCGAATGGATAGCGAATACCGCTTCCCCGCACTGTTTCGGCTCTGGTCACTTCGGCAGTCGTAAACTCCCCCCTTCGAACATAATCGCACCGCCGCCTCGTGGGTATGTTTACACCGACTCTTGCCTCTGATCGTGGGTAACGGACCATCCAGCCATTCCGTTCTGGATTCGATGTGTCGTCATAGTCGATAGCGGCATCAGCAAGGTCATCCTCGTCAATGTTGTCCACACGGCCAGCGAGAGGGCGTGGGTGGGGCCAAAGATCTTCAGTATCAGTATGAGGGCGGCGGGGTGTTCGAAACGTCGATCGGGTCAGCTCGCTGGGCGGGATAGGAGCTGAAGTCAGTCCGTTACGCATCCAGTGATCCATCGCCCGCAGCATGTCATAGCCATGTGTAGCTAAGAGGGCTCTAACTGCATACCAGTCGTCGCTGCCAGCTATCTCCATGAACCGAGCAATGCGTTGGTCAAGATGCATCTGATTGGGGTTGATCATTCGAAGGCGTCGTTCCAGTCTCTGGTGATGCTCTGTCTCTTCCTCACTTTGTATGCGCTCAAGAAACGCATGCACGGCTTCATCCACGTCAAAGCGATGGTCGGCAAGAAGTTGCCCCAGGGCCAGGGTGGTGAGCATGTCAACTTGATCCGCACGCACGACTTGGACCAAGCGAGTGTACAAGAAGTCGATGCCAAGTCGCCGATTGTGGTGAAGAGAGTCTGCCCCGAGAAGACGGTCTCGTTGTTGCTCTGCTGGACTGCGACCTGGTGCATTCGTGCGGTGACGGCGTCTAGCTTGGTTGAGGACATCGTTCATCCTTCGGAGCGCCGTGCCCAAGTCCCATCCCGATGCAACAAGAGCATGATGAAGATCGCCGTCAGTAATTCCGACAGGCTCGCCAAGAAGCTGTCGCATACCCCAAACGCGAGAGGCTTGCTGCCTAAGGTTGACGGACCTTGGATTAGCAGCTGGAGTACTGATCGATTGTCTTGTTCTTCCTGGTGTACGAGCAATGATGTTGCCTACAGGAACATTTCTCGAGGCATGTGGAATGATGGCGTTCCATCTTGTCGTATCCGCCTGAGCTGGTTCATCTGGGTTCCCTGGCTCGCTCCCCGGGTCACTTTCTGGACGACTATCTGCTGGCGATTCTGGTGCTGATGATAGCTCCGACTCGGGCTCTTGTTCAGCTGGTGGATCTTGCTGAGTGGTGGTAACAATGCTGCCACTACCGCCGACTGGAGGTTGATTGCTAGAATTGGCCATTTGGAGAAGAGTATTGGCAGCTAGGATCAACGTCAGCAAGCGGAATCTCTTCAAAGTTAACTACTGACCCTCCACATCTGCTGCAGTCAGCGTTGTTGTGGTGGTGGTGGTGGTAATTGCCAATCCAGCCGCCGGTGCAGTTGAAGAAGCTGGTATAGTTTGGCCTACGCTAGAACCTTCAGGGCTTCCATCGCTGCTTGATGAAATGCTCGACATCCACTGTGAAAGTGATCAGCATGAAGTCTCAATCGCTTGAAGTTCCCTGGGCATCTTGGCTCTGACCTTGATTTGCCTTGACTGAGGGAGCACAAAATTTTCTGATGACTTGAGGACAAACACGAAAGGTTTTTGCAGCAGTCAAGTACAGATGGGGGCAGTCTGTGCTATGCAAGACAAGCGGTTTTCTGATGAATGAAGATGGGTTTGAAAGCGCAATGGTGGCAATGAATGTTGAAAATGTGCATCAAAAGTTGGGTGACAGTGTCAAAGTGTGCGGTAAAAATGAGTGAAAGCTGGGCCTGCCCCGAACACTTCTCTTGGACACCGCATAGTTTCGGCATCGCAATACCTGCCTTGCGGTACCGCCATCATGCCGTACCTGACCGCCCTTATCGAGTGTTAGGCCCTTAGACCGGTCACCACGAGAACGATGCGATCTGGAAGTCGTCTTCTATATACGTATATGAAAGCAGCTGTCTAACGAAGCCAGAACTCAGCTTACGGCCTGTTTGGGTAACGGCTAGTTTCGTCTTCCGTCGATGTTGTGCTCGATCGATCGAGATATCTATAATGCGTTCAACTTTTCTACTCTGGATCGTGGCCACTGGCCAGCCTCATGCTAGATGGCAGAGCATAAAAGGTCAACGAGAATTGGGAAAAGAGAAGGCTTATATATATTCCAGCCACATCCAGATCAAGCAACCTTCTGACACAAAGGTTTGGCTACCGATCTTCTTTGAATGCAGCTTAATAACCGCCACCTTTGTAGTTGGATCGCATCTTCTGGCTAGCTGTGAAGAAGCTAAAGGCAGTCATCCATGGCTGAGAAGGACGAGCGGGTGCAACTACCGCCCCTTCTGATGACGAAAGCCTGCAACTTGTAAAGCTCGTGTGGATGGAGCTGTTGAGAAAGACTTTTGTCGTGTGGTGTTATGTTCTCTGGGCTGGGAGGGGAGGCCTCTTAGCTGGCACTTCTGCAAGCGAGCAATGACAGTCTTGCTGCTGGCAATATATCGAAGCATAGCCGCATCTAGCAGTGAAGACATGAAGAATGACAAACAAAGGACTCAGATGATGGAAGGGACATGCATTGAATGAGAACGGTGCTACAGTAATACTGCTCAGGTTTATTCCTGGCTGGTCTTGTGAAGAGAACGGTGGAAAGTGAGATGAGGTGAGGTCAGGCTTCAATATACATTTTGAAGTACTACTTACTAGTAGTAGTAGTAGTAATAGGAGTTTTGTCTTGGCACGCTAGTAGCTGTTACTAGTAGTCAACCATTAACTGCCAGGTTGCATGAAAATTTCATCAGCAGTAATCATAACGTGTAGAGTACATCGTCTCTCTGAATACAGCCAATGCAGCTCACTTTGATCACTCCCCTGTACCGTTGGCTTCTGAGACTGAACAACTTTCACTTGTCAATCTTGCCTTCCGTCTGTGCGCCGTTCTGCTCCTCTTTCACCGCATCTTCATCTTGAGTCATGCAAGCATCATGGCACTGTCCTGCTCTTCTTGCACCACATTCGCATCTTGTGCCATGCCAGTATCATCAGCACTTTCGTCCGGGGCCCCAAGTCCTGCATCATCCGCCGTTCTTTTCTTCTTCGATTTCTTGGTGGCACCTGGTTGACGGAGGCGCAGGCAGGTAATAGCCGCAAGCGAGCGCTTCGGACGTGGTTTGGTCTCACCAGGCAGCATTGCCCCAGCAAAATTTGCATTCCAGTTGTCAGTGAGCTCACGGCTCGTACACTTTGGGTGTGCGAGCAGGTAGTTACGAAGCCATAGCAACTCGAGTCGGTTGTATCTCGTGCCCTTTATCTTCTCCTCTTTCAATCCGACCTGGGCCCTGCAATTAAAAGGTTAGTTTCGATGCACAAATTCGTGTGAGGGGTAAGCTTACATGATCGTCTTCCAGCGCCATCTGTTGAGAGCTCTAACGTGATCCACATCGTTGCGATCAAAATTCTTCCATTCCGGATATGTCATAGTTCTTGCAACATGGTACTGCATGTAGTGGAGCTTCAGTTTGGCTTGGTCGAAGTCGTCTCCACCTCTCACTGGCGCTCTGTCAAGATACGGATTCTCTACAGGAAACTCGCTCTGGATCTGAACCTGACAAAGGTTATCATGGAGGAAGTCTGACTGTTGGGGAGTGTGAGCTAACTGAATTAGGACCAGGTGCCTCAGCCCGGTCAATGATATCGTGCATGTGGTGCAAGATTGCTAGCTCTACGTCCCAGCCGGCATACTCGAGATACCACAGTGCGTCCCTCAATGTCAAAGACTCATCGTTGAGCTGAGACAAGACCTGTGCCCCCTGACGATCGCGGACAGCTGTAGCCTCGGCTGGTGAGAGAGAAAGTCTCATGAAGGTTTGTACGCGATCTTCATTGTAAATTATCTCGTTGATAGCAGCTTGTAGAGAAGCTTCATCGCGAACGACACTGGGCCGAAGTCGAATAACGAACGGGTCGCTGCTGTCACTTCGTGGGCGGAGAGCAGGCACTTCGACTGTCGAGAGTCCTAGCTCCTGTCGAAATGTACGAAACGGACTTCCAGCATCGTCACTAATGATAGGTCTTGGTGGTGTTTGGGGATCAGCAGAGGCTGACGCGCTTGCTTCTCCTGACGTCCTGTTAGCTCCCGCTCACACGCTCATACGCTCACACGTAGAAGCATCAGTGAAGCCATTCCAGAGCTAGAAGCGCTGGCATGGTCAAGCTTTACCTACGGAAATTCAGTAGACATACCTTGCAGGCTTCGTGGACCATCATTGAGACTATCAGCGGCATCTTGCAACTCTGTGGAAGATCTTTGTGCCTCTGACGTCTGTTGAATAGAGGGAACAAGCTCATCACTAACTCGGGGCTCAACCGAGCTTTGTTTCAGCTTCTTTGGCGGCATCTTGCTTGCTGTCTTTGGACGAGAATTATCGGTCTGTGAACTTCAAGAGCTACAAATCTTCTACTACAAGATTGACGGGTGAAAGAATTGGTCTGAAACGTGCAACACAAAGAGATTACAAAATCGTTGAGGTGGTGGGTACAATGCAGATTCCTTAAAGCTCACAAACACGTGAGAGACTGCAAAGTGTTCAGATATTTGCGGTATTGCGCATCTCAGGAAGTGTTTCTGGGTTGCCAAAAACTGAGCCCTGCATATTGAACTACAATGCTCAACCTCGGCGATCCTTGAAAATCACAATCAGCCAGCATAACTGGTAGGTATATGCGCTACCTCATCCCCTTACGCAGGCTCCTTACTCTGGGTTTTAGCACGAGTGCAGCAGCAGTTCCTACTTGCATCTCTCCGTAATGGCTCAAGTACCCAATACAATTTTCTGGTCATTGGGATAGGTGATAGCTGAGGGCCTTGACTGTTTCAATTCGACTTCCACAATATTTTCCCTAGTACTCTGTTACCAAGGTGGACAGGTCGCATCTGATCATACCATGGACATATTCGCTAATGTCTCGAACAAATGACCAAATGAGGTCTTAGTGGTGCCATTCATGAATAGCAGATTAGCTTCGAGCTTTTCGAACGAGGTGTAAGAGATAAAGCTTGGGAACAGGAGGCATATCGGGGTTGGCGAGATCTAGTTTAGTGTAAGTAAGCGGAGAAGGCTCATTGTTTATTGTTTAGAGCGACTCTTGCAACATAGCGGGCTGAACACTCAGAGGGGCAAATGAAGTTGGGCATTTCATGACAAAAATAAACAATACATTTCAACATGACAAGCATAAAAGCATTTCAGAGCTATCTATTTCACTTAACCTTTTCGAACTGCACAAGAAACAGTCTATATAACCCGCACACAAACTAATTTGCAAAAAAGGGGCCAAAAAAGAGGCAAAAAGTTCACATCAATATCTCTACTCTCGAACTTTGCCGTAGGAGAGGTTCGATACTGGAAGGAGAGAATATATCCGCTATGAAAACTAGCTGACGCCTTGGTTTTGCTCACTCAGTTGTAATACCACTGAGCTATATGTCCGAGGACATTTGTACCGGTAGAATAAAGACATATATAGCAAGAGCTACGCCTTGGCAGTTGGGCAAGTGTTCTTCTTGAAGTGTTTTCTTGGAGGGCATGCATTGCTTAAACAGGAACAGGTTACAATACATCCTGAAAATTCCATCCACAGGAAGGTATTACCACATTTTGCTGCTGGCAGCTCTGTAGTGACGTGAGGGATGAAGATGCCTCTTTCTTTGGAACTATTTGACAGTGGCCAAATTCCTTGATGTGCTCATTCGCAAGATCGCCAACAATGCTTCAGTACTTTATCTGCTGTATGCTGCAGAGACATGTTGTTGGGGTTCCTATCGAGCCCGTAATATTCCCAATTATGTTTTGTGTATTGTTCCGCATGATCTGATGGACCTGCTTAGAGCACTTGGTGTGGCAAAGTCATCACCCATGGCTGGACTTGAGGGGCTCTACTGGTAAATGACTGTGACTACACAAGGTGGTGCATTTCATCTGAGTTATGAGAGCGCACACTTGAAGATGGGTTGATATAGATCATAACAACTCAGCTCCCCATACGCTGCTAACTTACTAACAAGTCATGAAATGAGAAGGAGCAAAAGTGGGAAGAAAACAAGGTAACAGAAGGTTGCTTTATCCATTATCACGGAGTTGTCTGAGATCCTGAATTCGTATTAAGAGAAGCGATGAGTGGTGTCGCGGTCCACGCTAAGGGGGACTTTGATCAGCATCGCGCCTTGAACTCGACCGGGGAGTGGCCATTTTGCTAGTTTATGGCCACCCCCTGGTCGGTTTACCGGATTTGGAAGAGTGCTGCTGATGTTTGAACTCAACTCCAATACCTCCACCCCTGATGAGCTTTGGAAGCAGCTTGATAATTACAACCATGACTTCCGCTCCTGTTTCATACAACATGTTAGGTCATCTCTTGGCACCTCGTTGGGGCCCTTGCTGACGTAACGCATCTTCGGTCAAATGGTGAGCTGCCATGCCCAATGATCTTATACACAAGTTATCTTGTGAGACATGGATTCTACGAAGTCACAAAGAGGCGTAACATAGGATCCCAAGGACTAGTCCGATTGCTTCAACCTGGCTCTGATGGCATTTCAGGTTCAACGCGGAGAACGATTCATTTACATGCCATGAAGCAGAAGAGGGAAGCAATTCATCTGCATTGGCTGCAACTACAGCAAAGTGTTTAGCAAGGCTAACCCTCGAAATGATCGGTAGGTACCAGAGATCTATGATATGACAAAACATCCTAGATGAGGGAGAAATCCAGCAGGCCCAAGCAGCTTTCCTCACAAGCTAAGGTGATAGGCCCTGCAAATGTCCTCCACGCTCCACCATCCAAGCTCAATGCCCGGAGCTGGATTCGTCACTTTAGACTAGCCGGCCGGCCTGCCTCTTCTCCTGGATAGCACTGTTCTACCGTGTGGAAATGATCCTTGAAGTATTTAGTGCAGTGGCAATAATCCTTCTGCTCCCTCCACCCTCGCTCGAAATACCAAGTGACTTCAGCGGCTTGGGAATTCTCGAGTTTGTACTGCAACGGTATGTTAGTTTCAGCGAAGGTAGTGGCAACAAGAACAAAGACGCTTCGAATATAGATTGATGACTTACCTGGCCCGGTTTGAGAACGATGTTTGCTCTGCCTTCGGAAAACTCCAAGCCTCCTCTAAAGCCAGGACCAGGGAACATTTTCAAAGCAACAATCCCGTCCAAGCTCGAATACTTAGCTGCTTGGACGAATTCGCCTAGGAAGGCGCGGACTTTGTCTTGGGTAAGGTCGACTGACTTTTCTTGGTTGAAGGGAGAGAAGAAGAACTCATATGGCATCAACTTGCCGTTGTTGAGGAGCCAGGCATTGGGTAGAATCTTGCCGCCGGAATGAGAATCATCTTTGTCTTGATTCTTCCACGGTAGCGAGATATTGTTGAATTCAACAAGCTTTTCAGGATCCTTTAAGTCGAAGTGACGATGCAGAATAGTGATGCCGAGTTGAGCCTCGAGGCCGTGCTTCAGTACAAGAGGCCCAAAGACTTCGTTCACAAACTTCATACCATCTTTGGCATGAAAAGCTGTCGTTCCTTCGTGGAGGTCTGGGATCTTGTTGAACTCCGACACGCTGTATGGTTGGAGGATCTCCGTCATTGTTGCTTACTGATATATTTATCAATAGTTCTGGGATTGTGATGAGTTGTTGAGGTGGGAAGATTCGTCTGTGTTGATTCGATTTGTAGATTAAGGAAGATGAGTGATGATGTTGATGTTGATGATGTTGAAAATTGAGATGTGCAAGGTCAGAAGCCAGGTACTTATAGACGAGGAAATGGTTCCAAATCACAGTGTTTGCCCGTTTGTAGGCACTTCGTGAGTCAAGGAACCAGCCACCTCAAACGAAGTAGCTCACGAAACAAACGGACTTCTGAATCAGAAGTGTCAAAGGCACAAGTCCTCGTCATTAAGAAGCAGAACTGGCAGAATGACATTGTAAACAAAGGGCTGCGTTGCCATGTGAGGCTGCCAGTGAGGACAGTCTCCGAATGCGTTGGCAGTAAAAGGGTAGACGCTGATTGCATACTTCATCAGCGCTATCCACCGCTCTGTCATAAAATGACGGTATTTATCATTGGCTCAAATATCCGCAGCCAAGGTATTTCACGTGACTATCTACCAATGAAAAGGCTTCATCTCGACCTGAATCCTGTTAAAGTTGCGCTGCAGCGTACCTCGCGTCTGTGGCGGATATTTAAGCCAATGATAAATACCGTCATTTTATGACAGAGTGGTGGATAAAGTGCGGCTATGATCTTTACCCAGCCACATCAGCACTCATCCACTCTTACGCACCTCCTAAATCTCCCTCTACCCTAAGCCTCTTCTAATGATTCTCCTGCATCCAACTAGACGCTTTCCCGCGTCAGCTCAGCTCTCCCAAACCCAGGCATCTGGCTCGTTAGTTCTTCTTTCGGAAACCCGCCAAGATCTGCTCCACGCTGAGCGGTCAGACTCTTCTGGCCATGACCGATGGCCGCTTGAAAACCAGCTCCGTCTGCCCAGCTGTCCAAGAAGAAATGGCCATTCTCGAACCAAGTCTGTGACACAGGCGCCAGGTAGACACTGGGGACGAAGGTCGAGCTGACGGGCTAATTGGTCGTGTGGACGTGGCATAGCTCTTCTGTATGGTTCTCCGGCATCGTATTAGAGCCAGGCATTGAGCAATCTTGAGTTTGTGTCTGAAGGAGCTGAACGCCGACAGGGTCCGCCGACCCCTCGTTCATCGGGACCGATAGGTAAGATGAACTAGCCTCTAGAGCAAAGTCCCAACTTTGCAAGCCCGGCATCACTGGGCCGGGGCCAGCTGATGGCGCGGGACTACGGGATCGCAAGCGCTGTCCATGTGGAATCTGTTTCCCTGCATTTACAGTACATTCCCGAGGACGACTATGCCGCATTTCATGGTTCTGTCCTCTGGGCCGACCAAGAAATTCCTCGGGCTGCACGTCAGGAAAATGAAGGACAATCGAACTTCAAATCACGCTAGCCAGGAATCGCAGGACAGGTGTTGTGAAGGTTCGGGTATCAGCTTTTTTTTTTAATGTTCTGGGATCAGTCGGAGTTTGGGTTCTCTATCAACATGGTGATGGGATCTCTAACAGAAAGATAGGCTCTGGGGAACATAAGGAGTTATTGGTTGATGATATTATAGATTTTATCTACGTCGGTTTGTGGGCGTCAAATTTGGCAGCATTTATCTCCGCTTGCTATAGGAATATGACAGATGTATTACAACACGATGGCGTCCACCTCAACCTCTACCAGCATCTCTGGATCCACAAAACCTCCTTCACCAACCACAATCATGGTAGCCGCGATCCCAACATCAGCGTCCTTCAAGCTTGTGACGAAATTCTCCCTAAATTGCTTTCCGATAGCTTCTGTATTGTCGTGTTTCTGGCACGCACCGCCCTATTAGCCACCTTTAAGTATCCTTGAGCATTGCTCTGCTGATACTCACGGCAACAAAGATCCTAATCCGGCAAATGTCCTCCTTTTTACCATCCAGGGCTTCGACAGCGGAGATGCATTCCCTCATCGCAAAACCTGCTTGATCGTAGGCATTACCTGGTGCTTGCAGCACTCCAGTGGTTTTGTCGATTGCGGTCGTACCGGAGACGAAGATGAAGGATCCCTTTCTGATGGCGCGATCGTAGCCGTAGCGCTGTTCGTAGGGATTGCCAGTGGTGTAGCGAATCTTGGTTCTTGAGGGGTTAATTCCGGTCGTAGACATGGTGGGAGTGCTCGGTTGACTTAAGAGGAAAATTTACGAAATATTGGTAGTCGTAGCTGATAGAGTATACGTGGTTGGATCTCAAAATTGATTAAATATTGTTCATTGCGAAACTCTTGCAAATCCTTGGCGTTATATAGAGAATTGCTGCCGCTACGTTGTCAAACAGAAACAGCTCTTTAAGGGTCAACCATGGATTTGTATTATATAGATAATATGTCAAAACGATACTAAGCTTCTTCTGATTTAATGATATAGACAAATAGTAACACAACTCTCAATTGATAAAGTTGACTTTCTACATAGTAAATCCTACTGTCTTAGAAAGAACCTTAGAGATTTAAAACTTATATCATTAGAATCAGAAGAAGCTTAGCATCATTTTCATATAAGTGAGCCTTAAGAGCTGTTTCTGTTTGACAACGCGGCGCCAGCAACTCCGCACAACCTCCAAATATTGCAAGAGTTTCGCAATGCACAATACTGTGCATTGCGAAAGTGTTGCAATTTCTTGGCGCTACCCTCGAATTGCTGGCGCCGCGGGGCAGAATTGTGGTGAGATATAGGAATAGCTCCCCACGTACGAAAAACGCGTAGAAATTGCTTGAAATTACTCATAGACCTTGCTGGCGCTTATATCTTGCCTTATCTCAACTGCTGGCCTTTAGTGTTGAGTTTTTAATGAGTGGATTACGTTTATCAAAGCCAGCAGTGAACTAAATAGAATTCTGCGGACTTTAAGTAAGAGGATATTAATTCCTGTGCTAGGTTTAGTAATCTATAGACTATTAACTTGTTCTAGTTTTAAGCTATTATAGTAAACGAAAGCTTAATACTCACTTGTTATCCTAAAAGACGATACAAAACTCTCTTATCTGTAACACAACTATTAGAGAACTCATCTAGGGTTATTTGACTATATAAGAAAGTCGTTGCTCTAGAAGTAATGCAAGGCCTATTTGATATAAACACCCTGTACTATACAAAGGTTTAAGAACTAGCAAGTCAAGCCTCCACCTTGAGATCCTCCTCCTCCTTGAGATCCTCCTCCTTACTATCCTCCTTATATCCTCCTTTCTACTATCCTACTCCCTACTATCCTCTTTATATCCTCCTTTCTATTTGCGTTATAAAAGCGCTATAAAGTTCTCCCTACGTTTGAACGCTTCTCACAATTCAACACCATAAATTTCTATCTCAAAATTTTGGCAGTAAGGTCACAAGAGAGTCTATTTTACTATCCGGGCGATTTTAGGCATTCTACTACGATAATTAGGTGGTAAATGGCCATCCTCTGCCCTCACTGCAATTCTGCCCCGCGGGGCCAGCAATTCGAGAGTAGCGCCAAGGAATTGCAACACTTTCGCAATGCACAGTACTCCAGAATGGAATGCTTGAAAAGTCCGCTAGGCCTTCCCCACCCTCGCTGAAAAGCAACTACCGAAAACTCTATGGCTGCAGATTTAGAGATGTTCTGAAGGGGGTTTATTCATGTGTAACTGACTTCGTACCGCCGATCAATTTCCTCTGGGAATGTCATTTTTATTATCCAGCCAGCTTCCATTTTGCTTCTAAGCCGGCACCCGCTAGGGGCCGATCGTGACATTTGGTGGTTGGAATTATACAAAAAATTTGTTAGTGGGGGGCGGAGGAGTGGTGGCTTAAGTCAATTATTAATCAATCAATCAATCAACCAATCAATCAATCAAGTTTGGTTTTGCGCTCAATCTCAATCGGAACTGTGTCTGCTAAGACATGCATGTGAGCACCGCCGAATATGGAATAGTTTGGCCCAAGTCGACTCTACTCTCTGCTACCCGCAGGCAATCACAAGGATTAAGGATGACCCTAACCTATCAAAGCGTCTTGTTGATCTGAAGCAACTCTGTTGTCTGTCTTAGTTGTCTATTAACTAGTCTACAGTAAACCGAGAGTTATTGGTGGGTGGTATGTCAAGACTATCAGGGCTTGGCAGTACAGAACACCGCAAACCAACACGTCTTCTGAGCACATCGTCAGCATCTTGAACTACATACACTGTTGATCGATTTTAGATGTACGGCCACCATCCTGCACTTGGGCATGCTTACTGTGGGCTAATTTGGCTTTAGGTTTGGATAGGAGCTGGAGAGATCTTCGATCTTTGATCAATTTTCCTACTTTGGCATTGATCTTAGAGCATTGAATTCTTATTTACAATAGCGATGGATAGCATGATCTTACAGCATCTGGAAACTACTATTTGTACAATATAGAGAGCAGGTTTCTGATCTCCATAAGGTGACCTCCTTACAGCCAAAGATCATTGCTTCTCCTAATACCTTTGTTAGAAAAGCTAGCGAAGCTCGCGCCATCTATGCAGCCACTTCCGACGTCTTGTATACGAGACGACATCACCATTCATTACAGACCTCCACTACCCGTAGATTAAGCGCTCTGTCGGACCTATAGAAATTACTTCCCAGTCATTCCCTTTACAGCCTTTGACTTCTCTGGCGCCGACGTCTGCCACACACATCTACAGCCCCCCAGACACCTCCGGGTATGTAGGTCGGTGTGGATTCTTCAAAACCTCCATGTGGGTGACGCTTGGACCACCATTTTGTCGGCGAAAAATCTCATGAAATGCCGGACACCCATCCTGTGGGCCAAGACTATTTACTACGCACTTTATCTTATTTACAATAATAATAGAAATGCATTAGAAATTCATTTTAATTAATATATCATCTATCTAATGTGAAAGCACCGCCAAGCTCAATCAATTGGCTGCAAAGTGCAGTAAGCTTAAAAATGCGGACCAAAGTGATGAAGTGAATAAATAGATTCTATCTACTTTGCAGAATCTATCTCTAGAAGGAGGAGAGGCTAATACTAATACTGCGCAGAGTGCGGTCACGTGATGCCAAGGATTTAGCTGTACACGTACGGCGTATACAGCCAATTCCAACACTCCCTCATTAGCCGTGCATGCCTTTTATGAAGATAGAACTGCCAAAAAACGCTCAAATAAGCAATTTTTGCCCAGATACAGGCCCTCCCGCCTAGCAAGGGGCCGAAATCTAGGACCTCCGGACCTAAGGAGACGGTCAGACACGGCTCAGTGTTAGGGCTCAACTTGTCAAGACGAGTCTCAACTACAAGTTGGGTCCAAGTGGGTTGGTTGGGTAGAACAGCGGGTATAATCAAAGATACTTCTGAATGTCTTCAAGCTAGGTATGAGCTGATAACATGAGTTGACTACGAAGACTATGAAACTATCTGGGAAGTGAGCGTGCTTATATAGACTAGGAGATTCGTGCTCAGAGTTGATCACCCTGATCACCTCTGATCATTACGTTGTCCAGGTGTGACCTTGTGTGTAGTTCAGGGTCCACGCCTGTCCAAGTCCGTCATAGTTACTTCGCAAAGCGCCAGGCAGCTCCGTAGTGCCTGTCTGTGCTTGGCGTGTTCACGTGCTGTAACACTCAGGCATTGCCACAGCTCAGGCTGGCTTACTCATGACTCAGGTTAAAACAGCAAGCGCTCAGGTCTGAATCCGGAACGGGCATTTGGTGAGGTCAGTTTTGGCGATAGTATATAGCGCTATACCTTCATCGTCGGAAATGTGTCACAATGAAATGTGTGTCGTTTAATGGAGAGTTCTCTGCTCACCGTCTGAGTCCCATGACTATGTATCTTATGTCGACAAAGTACTGACCGGTTGATGGCTACTAGGACCTTGCTGATGCTGAAGCCGTCGTTTCTTAAATCCTATGAGCCGCCATTTCACACCCTCTCCCAGAGAAATGCTGGAGTACAATACAATAGCCCACAAATAGCCAGGGATGTCCCAGCAATCATACCAGGATCCAAGCCGCATCTTCGGGCAGCAATAAGAATCTGTATAACATACCCTGGCCCATTCAATATGCCAGTATGAATCGACCGGACATATTTGGATTCGATGAGGGGAGTGGAGGCAATGAGAAGCATTACGTCTTTATTGCTCATTGGATCAGGCAATTTTGCAAGCTCTTGGTTGGTTCATGGATTGGTGAAAAGGATCTTTGCGCGAAATTGATGATATTGGACAGCCGAATGGCAGATTGCTGCGTCTGGTATCCATATGACGTGGAGACATTAAATGTCAGTAGAAGGAAGAGAAAATGAGGAGTTCAGATTATCCACCACTCTGGCGTGCAGTTGGTCAATCAAGCCGCGAGTGCGCTCAAACTGTCTGCTCCACTACGTAGTAAAGATGGCTAGTTAGGGCACCAATCAGAAGAATATTTCAAGTTATGGTAGATATGGTTGGTCTTGGCAACAACCACAACATCTCAGGTTTTTCTCTCCTTTCATTAGTGAGTGCAGCCAGTGCTCCCGATCCAAACGCCCAAGTTCCGAGTCGCTCACGAGAAAGCTGCTGACTACAATGGCTTGATGCTACTTGACTGCCTTCCTTTCGCATCATGAATCTGTTGACCCTTGCTGTACTGACAATGTATGGAGGGGCCTGCTGAATATCCTTGTGGTCGCACCATGCCCATTCATTGGGGCAAGTAGATGTAGCATGCCTAACACCACCTGTACCTCTCTCTTCACGACACCAACTCCCTGCATGAACTTCTACTCGTGAGCTGCGAGATAGAGCGTCCCATGACAAAGATGCATACGCACCGAGACAGGTCAACAGTATCGGACACAAGTTCGCATGACAGTGCACGATCTGATGCTGGGAACTGTGAGCAACTTTACTCTGACCTGATAGATATCGTCTCCTAACAGGACTTCGGCAGCCAAAACGCGTGCTGTACCTTCTCCTAATGGCATATATATAGCGGCCATTGCGTCTGCGTCACAAATCCACATTAGTAGATGTCCTTCTGGCCAAGGATCTGTTCTCTGCCACGTTGCTGTGGTGCACTCACGACAGGTGCAAAAGATTTTGGCCCAAGCCCACATGCTTCGATGGGCACCAGAGATTTACTCGACTGGCGAGGATGACGCAACCGCGGCAGAACCAGAGGGGCATCTCCTTAGGGCATGGCTGATGGTCTCGGACGGGCACTATCTTGTCGTCTTATGCATTGACCTGGATCTGCGTGTTGCCTCTGAACCGGCGTGCACGATCCTTGCCCACTATGACCTGGGCTCCCAACTTGGCAAATCCTCATTCATCGACTTCGCTTGCAATCATGAATATGCGATTATCCTCCAGATTGCAGGCATACAAGCTTCCATCATTTCTCTGACGCGTCCCGAGCGACACGATGTTGCGAACATCAAATATCCGGACAACCGTGGGCTTAGCCAAAGTCCCAACGGTAAGTGCCTCTCGATTCTTACAAGAAGTGAAGGGCAAGACCTTGTCGTTGTCTTCACTATGACGCAAATGGGCTCAATCAAGTCCAGTACCTTCACTCCGCTGACCCACGACGCCCAAGGTATCATGTCGTGCCCGGAAGGTAATCCTCTTCTGTGCGTTTGGGATGCTGCTGCCTTTGGCTTAAGAGTGCTATTCTTCACAGCCAATGGTCATCACTTGAAACAGCTGGATATAACTGCCGAAAGTATGCGTCTTTTTCAAATACTCCCAGGATTTGACGGCCTGGGCATCAGCAAGGTAGACTGGCTCTTGTGTGGTGGCAAAGCAGTACTCGCTTTGTTCGATAGTTCAGGGCATCTCTTCCTGCGACGCCAGCTTGGGGATGAGAAAGTATGTGCTACGCACCGCTCCTCTCCGCTTCTTGTAAGAGGTGCCGGACTGACTTGAGCTAGCTTCTTCATTCAGTGGCTACCATCAACCACCCTGCTGTAATCGACGGAGCATCATATGATGTATGGCAGGAGTCACAAGATGGCGATCACATCTTCTCGCGTCATTTTGCGTCATTTCAAGCTCGCAACATTCAAGGGTCCGCCGGGGCTGATCAGATGGCCGTAAATGCAACTTGCCAGCTGGTTGCATCGAAAGATTCATCCAGACCATGGACTTTATGGATCTGGGATGCCCTAACGACACAGCAGCCTCTGGCAGTGGTTAGTTTTCGGGATCGTATCAGGCAGCTTCTTTGGCATCCAATGGATCCCGACCTCCTGGTCATCCTGACAGCCTCCAAAGAGCCCTGCTTTTATCTGTGGCATATGAAAAAGGAGCAACCATTTGTTTCAAATGCCTTAAACATGAACGGCCGTTCAGAAATGTGCGACTGCGACGCAACATGGCTTACCGGATATCTCAACGGGTTACCGCTTCTATTTCTGAGCTGGCCGCGACATTATGATGCCGGCATTCTGAACATTGACCAAGATATTGTTATTTTCAAGGGCATTTTGCGTCAAGATCATTGCCACAACGGCTGACTGGTACCAAGTCTGAGAATGGCATTGGCACAAATTCTCCTAAGCAACCAAGCTATATGCGTGCGAAAACGCTGAAAAGTAAGTAACCTATTCAACCTTTCATTGTGGAGACTTACCCAATCGTGTAGCTGGCGTAAATTTGAGGTGGTCAGGTTTGCCCCTTCTCACGAGGCCTCATTATATCCTGCTTCTCGTTGCAATATAATCGGTTTGTCTTATCTTTTTCATTAGTTGTCGATGCTTTTAACGGCAGGAAGAAGCATTTCGACTCTAAACTCTTCGGACAGTGGCAATGCTGACTGGGTGGACGGTAGTCAATTACAGCCAGTACTGAACACAGCTGATCTGATGTGCGAGACTTGCTCTAGAAGTCCACCATTTTGCTCCAGCAGTCTCCTTTCCTCGCAGATCCGTCTTGGCAGGAGCCATATCACTGAATAGATTCAAAAGTTCTCTTCAATGAATTTTGGGTTGCTCACATTGCTATTGTGTTTGTAGTGAATGCGGACCTAGCCCTAACCTTCGATCTTGCGGTCCTCTTTGAAAATAAGGCCACTCCAAGCTTACACTTCCACCGCAACCAGCAACAAGAAACTATCCAAGTACACCGCTTTAGTCTCATCCTCATCATCATCATCATCATCATCCATCATCATCCTCATCCTAGTAGAGCAACTCAGCAACAACCAGCTACCTCAGCACATCGCTTTAGTCTCATCATCATCATTGTACTAGAGCAAGTCAGTCACAGCCAGCTGCCTCAGTATATCGCTTCTGCATCATCACCACCTTATTACCACAAATCAGCAACAGTTTTCTACAAACAATAACAAGATGTTCGGTCCACGTCGGGGTCCTACTCTGATTGGAATCACCCAAGAAGATATTGATATGGTGGTGAATCGATATCTTGAGACGACCACTGCCGAAGAGCCTTCCACAGCAGAAGCACCTCTCCCCGTCAGTCCAACTAATATTGATCCTGCCGAAGAGCCAACAACAACTGTCACAGCACAAGCACCTCTCCCCGTCCATCCAACCAATATCGATCCTGCCAGCAATGACAACAACACGGCCGACGCTTCATCTGTCGCTTCTTCTGAACTTGTAACCCAGCTTCCCTATGAGCACCTTCCTTACGGGCGCGAACGTGAAGAAATTGTCATGCAAAATCTCCAGATCAGCCACCTCGAAGAGATGGATCAGCAATTCAACAGCCAACGAGCCATCACCAACGCTGCCATCGAAGGCATGGCTGTAAACTACGATGACAGAATTGAGCAGCTGACAGAAGAGATCCGCTCCAACCGCCTCGCCATCCAGATCCTCACCTGGCGCAACGAAGTCTTGACCGAGCTCGCCAACCCCGATCAGGCAACCGATCTTGAGGCTGAAAAATACGCCGATCTCCGCCAGCCTGAGATCCGCCGCCTGAGAGCTGTGGGGCCCGCCGAGGCATACAATGAGAAGGCCATGAAAGTTGAGATGAACCCTCCCGTCTCAACTGTCTTGGGCATCGAGGGGCAGGGATACCTGGGTAGGGCGTCCGCTGGACGACTCTACGGTGCGGAGGAGGGTTTGGCTGTGTTCTCGTCTGGGGAGTTTGAGGCGAGTAGTGAGGGGGACGCTCGTGCTGGCACTGCCAGTGTCAGTTCTGGCTATCTGAATCTTGCATCAGCAAATCGAAGTCTTGTGTTTAGTGTCAAGCTTTATCTAAGAAGATAGCCCTTTGGGGTTGTTGTATTAATATGCTGTGTTCGGTATATAATTGTGACAAGAAACCATGTTTCTTTTTAATCGCAAGACAAAGCAGATCTTTAGGATCTGAGTGTGGTGTGGGCGGACGCCTCAAAAGTCATTAAGACCTCACCAGCAAAGCATGCGGGCGGATGCCGGTGTCCTGGCTAGTGAGGCGGAGAACGAAGTTCTCAAAGTCCTCTTTGAGGCAGTCACAATAAAGTATGATTTTGTAGGCAAATGTACGCTCTTCTCTTTCTACTTTCATGGTATCGTGATACTTTCCTGGCATCGTGAACTTCTAGATTCTAAAGAGTCTGGCCCGGGCTCCCACTTGCGTCTCCCGAAGGCTCTGTCCTGGAAAAGCCGGCCCATTCCTCCTTGCCTACGGGTTTGATGGTGGCAGTCTCCATGTTCGCATCGCATTCCCGCTTCCAGTTCCGAGGCGTAAACTCATCTGCTATCGCTTTGAATGCTGCCATGGTGCAGAAGCTGTCGTCGCCCTCCAGGTGGTTGCCTGCTTTCTTGCAGCCTGGCACGGTCATCACTTTGTCGTTGTAGCGGATCCGGACGTAATAGCCGTCGAGCTTTGCCTTTTCGCTGACTGAAAGCTCTGTGGTTGGTCGCCTGCCTATGCCTTCTGAAGCTTCGCTCGGGGGGGGAGGAGGACTCTTGTGAGAAGAGAGGCCGAGTAATGATGCGAACCATCCTGGACGCGTTGGTTCTGTCACGGCCTGCTTCTCGGTAGCTGATTTTGGTCTTATGCCGCCAGAAATTTGGGACTGGTCTTTCTTTTTGAAGAGCTCCACCGCGATGCTGCTCGTGAATGGCGGCCATGGCTCTCCGCCAAAGGCTCCAAGGCTTGCCAGCAGCCCGGCAATCGTTGTGTCATGGCATCCGCTCATGGCGAATCTGATGCTGGTTTCACCGCCTCTGCCCTGGCCCAGCCGTCCGTCCTCGCCCCCAATCTCATACATAGTCAGGCCCGAGCGCTCTATGTTGGCGACCATGCGCTCAACAATATCCCCCACGAGTCCACCAATTCCAAGTGCCCGGTATTCCTGGTTTTCGTTGTAGCCAGAAAACCATTCCTCCACACTGACTCTGTCAATAATCCTCCGAGCTGTAGGATCGTAGAACTCCGGAGGAAGCCTGGTGTCAGGCCCGTGCGCCAAACTTGCATTAATCGTGTCCATGATGCCTGATAACCTGGGATGAGAATCTACCGCTACTTTTGGAAAGGATCGAGGCATCCATGCTGAGATTAGCTTGTTGAGGTATTTCATGTCGTCGGTGTCGTTCCATTTCTCTGCCGTTCGTTGCGCAAACGCACGACTCAGCTGATTGAAGCGGCGACAATTGCTATCGTTGGGGAACAGCGTTTCATCTGCCGGTGTACGCGTGACTATCGTAGGTGGCGGGAATGAGGCAGTTCTTGCTGTGAGGGGGTACATGCCCCAAAAGGCCTGTTGAACCGATTCTAGAGCACGGGACAAGGGGGTGGAACGGAGATAGATGCTGTCTGATGAGGAGATAAGGTCGGGCATATACTTGAGCTGATCAACGTAAAGGTGTCGAAGACGTTGGCCCAAAGCAAGGGTCGTCTCTCGACCTTTATCTGTGAGCTCACCAAATTGACTTCATAGCTTCCATTAGCCAATGTGAAGTATTACAACGATCCCCTGAGAAGCACTTGCCAGACACCATCAACTTCACCATTAGGACCAGCTGCCATGACAGGGCCATCGTCGTCACCGAAGCGCTCTAATCTTCTTCGCCATTGCAATGAATCCCAAGTAGACCCATCACGAGAGGCCATAGCAACAGAGGTCAGACGCCTTGCAGCATTGCAATAAGGCCAATATGGAGCGAGTCCGGCCTAACCACTATCAGCAACAGACTCGGAAGCCCCGGATCAGAGAGAACGCGCATTCTGGAAGCGAGCTGATACTGGAGATCTTTCGCCATGCCGGAGGAGAATCTGGACCAATTGAAGCTCCAAATCCCTGGGATAAAGCCTCTGGATCTCCTCTTGCGAGTAAGGGGGACGAGGAACAAGACTCGCCATAATAGTTGGTGGTAGAAAGGGTTTACTGAGCACTCTTTATGATTCTTTGGCCAGCAATGCTGCCATCGTGCCTTTATTTTGGCTTTCTGTGTTCGATTGTAACTCAACGTAAGTAAGGTAGTATGAAGCATGCAGCATGACTAATCGCAGTCCGGAGGTCCCTGCAGCGCCAAGAGCTGACTCGTGACAAAAGTTGCATTCCCCGTGACTGATCTGCCTGCGCTGTCGCTAGTTGCAGACATCACCCTCTGTTGTCAGAGCGGACCTCTATATCTAGTCTGCGTGCTCAATTCCAAGATGGTAAGCTATGCAGCAAGTGAATAATATATGTATATATATATTAACCAGCAGAAAAGGTTGCTTTGGAGATAGCCTCCCTCGCCGAAGTCCCTTCTCCTCTTCATATCACTCTCTTGCTCAAATGCGCTAAACATACAATACTGCTATCGGTTCTTCCTTCCACACCTTTCTCCGACATCAAATCTCTGTTACTTCTTGCCTTGCAAGCGCGGAACATTAAGACCATCAACGATAACTCAGTGCCAGCTTCAGATCAAGGCGACCAGGTAGAATTCGGGATACCTAGAAACAAAAAAGATCTTAAGAAAGGCTTCATTCCGCTAGAGATGGCTGAGCAGGTGCTTGGGGACAGTAAAGGAGGGAAGAAGAAGGTCAATGGTAATAAGGCCATGCCGAGCGGGAGTCCTGCCGGCGCAGGGCTCGTGGATGGCAGCATACTGGCATTCAGATTCAAGCAAGGGGAGGATATGGACATGGAGGACGCGGCCGACGATGAAGCACAAGTTCCTAACGATCCAGGATGGAATGTGGAACTGCCACATTATGATGAAGAGGATGAGTGAGTCGACATCGACAGTAGTGCAGCTACGCTCAAACCAAAATCTCCCAAGAGACCTGAAAGGGTGGTGAAGACGTTATCGCGCTGACCAGCCAACCTTCACCACTCCCAGAACTTCGAGGCGTCCCATATACTTTTTCGACGCCCGATTGAACTACGACGAGGAATGGGCGGATTACTTGAGGAGCACACAGCCTGAGGCGGCTTCGATAAGATGCAGACCTCAGCCTTCCGGTCACATTGTAAATACCCTTTTCTCATTCTTCACAGCGACGCAAACGTGGTTGACGAATGATGTTAAGTTACCGAAGAAACATCGAGACTGAGGATGGATGGCTTCGTTTGCGGAACCGATGTCCTTCGCAAGGCTCCGATTGGCTCAAAAGTAGTAGTTCCAGGCTCTTGATAGCCAAGCCCCGTAAGCTACTACAGGCACTACTACGTATAGGGAAGCTTAGTAGCTTAGGAGTTTTGACAAGGTTCTTCAAATGAGCAAGACTCAGTTTATGGAGGCTGGCAGATCAACAGAATAACTCTTGACCTCTTGATATGTCCACAGCTCCGTCTGTCAAGCGTCTCTTGCCCTGAGCAAATCTTTCAGCGATTACTAATTCGGGTGACACCAGGAAATTTACGTCAAACTGAAATGTGGGTACAGTTTACTAGACCAATTTGGATTTAACTAGAGCTGTCACTCTTGAGCTGACCACCGATCATGGTCTCTGAACCCCAATCTGCCCCAATTTCTCGCGATCACCTGCCAAACTGGAGGTACTACACGAGAAAAGGGACACATCAACCACTCCACCAAAAAGACAGCGCTTGTGGGTTTCGAACCACACTTGATTAATGTATCCCCACTGACTACACGGAGGTGTACTTTACCCGCAGCTGGACCCTCATTAGTGTACATTAGTTTATATTTAGCTCTGTATTACCTTGGTACTCAGAAACTGCATAATAAGTCACCTTGAGTGCTCATGATTGATCACAATGATTTATAAGGAGTCGTGCTTCAAAAGTCATCAATATACGCTAAAGCTAGAGCGCCACTAGCACACTCAATCTAAGCTTTAGTGTGACGTAAAAATTATGCTCTAGGGGTAAAGCCCTAGAGCTGCCGCTATCCCCTCCGTCCCTGAACAGGGGTGTTTAAGAAAATATAATCTTGCCTTAAGAACGCTTGTTATAATAGCTAAAATGTTTTGCCTGTTAAGGGAATCATAAATAACGGAACTGCTCTTACATTAAGGAGCATATAAAAGAGATCAGAGAGATTGTTGATAAGGCTTGAGCAAGTTAACACAAGGGGAGCAAGCCGAAGGCGAGAGTAGTTAAGGAAGAAAGCATAAGCGTAGAGGACTTCTCCTCTGATTCTGAAGGCGGAGCAGAAGTCTATCTTGCGGCACCAGAGACGCCAACTTATAAGACCCTTAAGTAGATTACTAATACTAGTACATCTGACTATATAATTAACTAGCTTTCTCTCTTTAGAGGACCCCTAAAAAGAATTAAAGAGATAATAGTAAATTTAGCAGACTTAAGGTTACATATTTAGGGGATAGGATGTGCCTAAATATATACAAAAGAGGGAGTAATAACCTTATTAAATATATTATATATACCTAGTCTAGGCGCTAGTCTTTTTTCTAGCTCTTTATTATACGAATTAAGGCTTCTAAGCAGTTTTAATAAGAAGGCCTTATATATATAAGATTAGAATAATAATATAATTCTTAAAGCTATCAGATATAAAGGTCTTTATATTATTAATTAAATAAGTCCTAAAGTAACAAAGTCTGCTTATTCTATATAACTTACTCTAATAAATTTAACTATATATAATATAGCCAAACCTAATATATTGCTAAAGCTCTTTACCTTAAAAAAGACACTATTATAGACTATAGTCTGTAACGCCTTCTTTAAGCCACTTACTAATTATAGTTAACTAATAGTCTTTAAAGAAGTTATAACTAATACTACAAAGGAATAATATCAATTATAGTATAAAAGATTTACTTATATAAGGGAGAAGAAACTACAGGATCTATATAAGATTATAATATTATAGAAAGCAATTTATAAGCTAAGTAAGATAGACATCTATAAAGTATATAATCTGATTAAGATGAGAAACTAAATAAATGCTTAAGTCTCTTAGCATAAGACTAACCTTCTTAACCTTATATTAATTAATATCTGTGGCCTCTTTCTAATAGCACTTAGTAGCGCCTAATACTTCCTAGAGGTTATTAATAATCATTCTAGGAAGTTATAAGTAATCCTAATTAAGAATCAAAAGGAAGTAAAGGATTACCTTAAGAAGTGGCATCAGAATAAAGAACTTATTATAAGGATAAAGCTAAAAGTAATCTGAAGTGATAATGCTAAAGAACTTAAATAGACTCTTAATAAATAAAGCTAATAGATAGAAATTAGTATGTAATATATTATTTTATATACCTTAAGTCAGAATAATATAGTTAATGTCATGTGTCACATTAGAAGTAGGCGATAAGTGCACAAGATCTTTAGCCTATGTTGAGTGCTATCCTAAGACTAAAGAGTCGACGGTGAGGGCCTTGGGGTCGCTTCTATATAGTAAGCAAAGCTAATAGATAGAAATTAGTATGTAATATATTATTTTATATACCTTAAGTCAGAATAATATAGTTAATGTCATGTGTCACATTAGAAGTAGGCGATAAGTGCACAAGATCTTTAGCCTATGTTGAGTGCTATATCCTAAGACTAAAGAGTCGACGGTGAGGGCCTTGGGGTCGCTTCTATATAGTAAGCATGCCCCTTACTAACGTCTAGTGCTAATTAATACCTGGCGCCCTAGTACTAGCGGGCGACAAGCATAGCAGCTATAACATCACCCCCCCCTCCAGAAGACTCAACATGCCCTTATGTCTTAAGAAAAGAGAGAGATATAAATAGAAGAAGATCCACAGAATAGCAAGGAAACACATAGTCAAGTCAGCGGTGTTTGAGCCAGTGATGAGATTAAGCTGACAGCATTATAATGTGCGTCACCTTATTTTCCTGGTCTCTTGAGTGGTTGCTCTATTGTTATCTGGGTGCTTTGAAGATGACTTATCTCTTAGAGCGCTGTTAAGCCAGTGCTAGAGTCGCTTAAGTGGACCAGCTTCCTGTGGGTACGCGTTGTGGTAAGCTTGTAACGCTAGAGGAGCGTTTCGCAGGTTGCCAGCAGAGTACTATGTATCATCAGGGTCCTATCCTTACCATTATATCTTGTATTCCAGCCGACCTCTGCTAATTCTTGACGACAGAATTCTCTTAACTTTCTACTTAAGATCTTTATTAACTTTAACTACAAAAGGTAGAGTAAGAATCTGGCCAGGGAAAGGATTATTATCTGCCTTATGTAACTAGTCTATATATAACACTAGTAAGATATAATAAGAGGATAAGAGCTCTAACTTATAAAAGTAGCTAATCATCTTTATAATATAAAAGAGGCTTATAATAGGATAGTCTAGCTTATTAGAGGGCCTATCTGTTCTTTATAGCTTCTTAATAATAAATACAAGGTCTTCTAATTAAAAATTAGGTAAGTAATGTTTCTTATTAGCTTAATAAGTATACTAAGCTTAAGCTAAGATTATATTTATTCTAGCCTAGCTTATTACCTTATTAATATAGTATAGGTGCTTCCTTACTTGCTCTTAAGTAACTTGTTCTTATACATCCTAGTATGAGCTATTATTTATTTATATCTAGTTAAAATTTAAGTGAGGTTCTTAGCTATACTTAATTATATAAGGTATAAGTTCTGTAAATTTGTAGATTAAAGCTAACCCTATAGCATCTAATACTAGCAGAAGATATACTTAGTTGTTTTAAAAGTGATTTATAAATAATT